AAATTCGAAAATAGCAAACTCACAGCTTTTTGCGAAAAATTACCATTGTTTAATGTGCCGATTTTTGCGAAAATTTACCGATGTTTGCGAAAGTTTCCCGATGTTTGCTAAAATTTTACCGATTTTTGCTAGGATTTTACCGATTTTTGCGAAAAATTACAGGTTTTTGCCGATTTTTGCGAAAATTGACCGATTGTTGCGAAAATTTACCGATTTTTGCGAAAATTTACCGATTTCCTTGAAAAGTTGCTTTTGCGAAAATTTGCATTTTTTGCGAAAATTTGCAATGTTTGTGAAAATCTGCAGATTTTAGCGACAGTCTGATGATCTTTGAAAATTATAGACTTTTCTTGGAAGCTGACGATGTTTGCGCCATTCTGGGGACCTTTCTGGATGGAGTTTTAATTTTGCAGAGTAAGTCGTGCGACATCCAACTCCCATAGGAGAACTTTGCAAGCTGTACAGCCTAATGTTGAACAGGCTTTACCTTTGCTGTCAACTTATGCCTTTGCCTTGCCTTTCTTAAGCCAGAGCTTGAGTTTTGTTGAACTTCTGCGGCTGTTTGTCTTCGTTTAAGTAAAAATAATAATACTTTTACGGAAATTGAATTGAATTATGCCATTTTGTTTTAAGGCGAACACGCAAAAGTTCAAAGGAAATGGATTTTTGAATAGGCTTGTGGGCCGGGAGCCCGAAAATTCGAAAATCGAAAATTTACAGATGTTTGCGAAGTTTTGCCGATTTTTGCGAAAATTTGCCGATTTTTGCGAAAATTTTGCCGATTTTTGCGAAAATCTGCAGATTTTTGCGAAAATCTGCAAATTTTCGCGAAAATGCGAAGATTTTCGCGAAAATCCGTAAACTGGCAAGGGAGGCTGGGCCGATACATTTTTGGATTTTTGCGAAAACGCGGATACTAGCGTTTTTTGGATTTTTGAATTGTTTTGCGAAAATCCCCACCCCGGCACGCAAATTTTACGTGCAGCATTTAGTTGACTTAGTATTATATAGGGATAATGGAAAAGAAAATGGAAACTACTCTATTATATCAAGGTAATATATTGGGGTTCTAGTTGAACAGCAACGAGTAATGAGACTCAGAAAGCAAGCTGCCTGACAGGTGACCGAAGCCGAATACTGGCACGCCTTAGGTTGGGCCCCCACCCACTAATAGTGACCACAATAGGTACTGGTAATTATATTAAGGTCCTTATATATTCCTAGTATACCACTCTTAGTGGGTGGGGGCCCAACCCAAGGCAAGCCTCCTTCCTCCGCTTGTTTTTGCATGCGGCTTTTTTCACCTTGCCTCCTTCTTCAGGTTTGCCCTCCCTATATATGCCCCTATATAACCCCTATATAACCCTAATATAACCCTCCCGAATATAAACCTAGTATAACCCCTATACAACCCTAATATAACCCTAATACTACCCCTATATTCACCCAATGGGTATTTGGGTGGTTTCTCTCCAGCTTTGTGCAAGTGCTTGTCATCTGCCCTACAGCTTGCATAGTTGCCAGCCTTTTGCCAACTTTTCCTTTGCCTCTACACCAAGCGCTGGAGATGCATCATCAACGCTTGGCCCGCATATAAGCCATAGTCTAAACTCCTAGTATCCCCCTTAATAACCCATATAATATACCCCTATATAATCCCCTATATAACCCCTTTAAGGAGCTTAGACTATGGCTCATATGGCATTGCAGCCACTGTCTATTCGTGGAAATGAGCGCGGGAGGCCGTAGCTTCTTCTCTACTCAGGGAGACTCTTAAGGTTCAGCCTTGAGGTGCCTTGAGGTGTTGCCTGGACCCTACTTGGAGGGCCAGGGGCACTTAGAAAGTAGAGTAGTAAGCCCTATAATCTAATATAATCTATATAGTAATCCTAGATATCCCCATTACTAACCTATTCACGAAGTCCCCCCTAACCCTCCAAGCACAGAACCCACCTGTTCAGGTTCCGAGGGGCTCCTCGAGGATGTGGCGCCTGCGGCCCTCGAGGAAGCGCTCATCGAGGTGTGGCCAGGAGCCTTTTCTTTTCCATTATAACCCAATATAGCCCGTTTGTAACCCTATACTATGGCAATTTCCATGTTCTTTTCCATCATCCCTAGAAAAAAACCAAATATATTCCCTATTTAACCCTAAACTAAGAGTTCAGAGCTGAAGGCTTTAGATGACTTAGGGGTGGAGAGTCTGGAGTTTTGGGCTTTAGGATTTGGGGTTTCAAAAGTAAGGGCATACATGTAGTGATATATACATGTGCATGCATATGTATGCATATAGATAGGTGCGCGTACATATCTATGTCTATCTATCCAACATGTGGGTTTAACGTCACGGGTTCGAGGAGCATGAAGTCAAGGCTTACGTAAAGGGATTGATTTTAGGGACATGTTTCCAGGAGCTTTAGCATGAGGATTTCGAGAAGGGGCCCTCCAATTCTTGAAGCCCTCATTTAGAGCTCAAGGTGTGTTAGCGCCGCTATTTCCACCTGAAGTTGTTGAGACCTGAAGATCGGGTGGCCTTGAATTGGGTCAATGGCCTTCTGGCTGCCCAGTGGTAAAGATGTGTGAGGCTTAGGGTTTCAGGCTTGGATTCTAGATAGAGTAGGGTCTAGTGTTTAGGACGAGAGGTTTTGGAGTCTGCTGTCTTTTGCCAATCCCACGGCCGTTAGCTGTCCCAACGGATGATGAGAACCCTGCGGCAAACGCCAAAGTCTGCGGGCTTCGGGCTTAGCCCCTTAAAAAGGCCGACAACAAAAATGGGCCCTCACCAGTGCTGGAGAGGAATATTCACAGACAGACCCTGGCTGTGTGCAGGTGATCAACATCCATCAGTCGCGCACAATGCTCATAAATGAAGTGATGCTGACGCGTCTTTGGATAGCAGCTAGCCTAGCAAATCTACAAGCTCATAAATCAGAAGTAGCCTCGTAGCTGCTAGCTTCCAAATCCCTAATCCGTGCTCTTGATTAATAAAACAGCGTAGATTTTAAGCAAACTTGTTGGGCCAAATTTGGAGCCAAAGATAACTTTAAAGGCAGAGGCCTAAAAACTCCCTAGATTCAAAGAAAATTTTATTCCCAGACCCTAAACACAGCAAGCCGGGCTTCGTTTTGAGGTCTAGTTTTTTCAAGTTCCGAGGCTGTAAAAGCTAAAGCTTTAAGTTTAAAACCTGAAATCCCCAATAAGAACAACGAACTCTGAGACCTGAACTGCTTATTAAAAAATCATTGGGAATTAAAGGCTCGCTCATTGCATCCTGAGCTTCCCTTACGGACCTTGCGTGAGAGGCTGTTTCTTTAGATGAACGGAAAAAACCTAGAATAAGAGCAAGTATTTTCAGGGTTATTAGTTTCGCATCCTTGTTATATTTGAATCTTTTCCAAATCAGTTAGAAATAGTCGAACTTCGTTAAAACCTCGTTAACTCCAAATAGAAATCGAAAACAAATAAGTTCAAATGAAACCCCTTGAAATCCAATGAGAGTGAATCCACTATCTTCTCAGAACCTTGTAAGATCCATGAAAAGCCAAAAAAAACTCAAAATCAACTAAAACTAATCCCAAATGCATGAAAATCTAGTTGCATCGGTCTGGGATCCCCAGAATAATGGGTCGAAGTTGTTGTTGTACGGGACAGGTGCCCTTATTAATTGAGAGTTGGGTTTTAACCTCATCGTCTTAATGTCTCTACCCATACTATATAGTTTTCTACTTGAACAGTACCAGGGAACTATCATTTATACTTCATGATTTTGTACAGCAATACCCGTCTGCTGAAACCTTTGGGGCTCGGACCCTCCGGGCGCGCATCCTCATGGATGGTAGGGAACCACAGGGACTCTCCCCACCTGCAACTTGGAGGCTGCCTCTTAGAAACCACTTTGATTTGATGGCACCACATAGTACCATGGTATTCTGGCAGCAGGCTTCTACTATGTACCAGTATTGTGATGTTGCAATGATCTGCAGTGATTACTGCGCAGTTTTGTATACATGGTACCATGATAACCACATCGAAACAATGTTATGGTATTGTCGTATCGTAGGATTGCATCTGAGCCCACGGCTTGTGGAAGGGGCCAAAGTTGCAGCCGGCACAGATGAGGCAGTAGTCGAAGTCGATGGTTTCCTGAGGGCTGACAAGCGCAAGCACCCCGGTCCAGCAGCATAGAGGCAAGAGTCCTTTGGCTGCAGCTAAGGCTCCCGTCCCGACTGGAACATGGGCTTGTAGGTGGCGGTCTTCTCATCGCCATTCAGCTCCTTGACTTCGCCCCAGATGAACTTGCAGCCCATACGGGTCTGTCAGGGCAGGCAGCGTTGCGAGAACCGGAAAGCACTTAAGTGCCCATTGCCTGCATGCAAGCACCGCTCTATACTTTTCTGCTGCGCCTCGATGACCGGTTGCAGCGTGAAGGTCAGGGCATCCAAGTGCTTTGGCTTCACGTAGGCACGCAGCACACCCGGCGTGTACTCAAAGAACTCCTGCTACAAGTCGATTTTGCTAACTGCCCACTTGCGAGAGAAGCACCCGCCTTAGCATCGATGATGGTCACCAGGAAGTGGCTGGCAAGGTCACGGCCGGCGGCCAGGCCCGAAAAACTGCCGCCGATCACCAGCACCCGGCGCCTCGGTCAGCAATCAACTCTGAAAGGAGTTGCAAGACAGGGACTAAAGCACCGCTTGGCATGTCCCCACAGGACGGATCCTGGCTCAGGAATGGACTGCGCAGGCGGCATGGTGCTGCTTCTACCTACTGAAAACTATGACACGAGACGCGTGAGCCAAAGCTTTGCAGACAATCACCATGCATTGGCAAGGTCAAAAGCACAACAATGGGCGGCGCTCACACACCTGAAGCTGAATCTTGGGCATAAATAATCGAAGCTCTTGCCTGCATTAACGCTCTGGGCAGCCAGGTTAAGCTGGAAATCTATGGTCTCTGTAAGGCACTTGCCTCAACCGCTATGAAACACAGCTTTACAGCCCAGGCTTCTTCAAATTGGAGCCAGGCTTTTCAGCTTCGTGCGATTTTGTGCGTCCCGCTCAATGGCGACTGCCACAACAATTTCAATAGATCGAATGTCAAGAAAGTCGAACCCACCATCACACTAGTGTCACACTCACTCCTCTGGACAGCCAAGGCTGTCACGGGTCGCAACACCAGTCTTGGGATTTACGCCCTTGGCAAGAGGGCAAATCTTGTCTAGCTGGTCTTTGCGAAAAGGCGTGTCAGTGAAGTCCGCACCCTCGATGCTCTTGAACTCAGAAGCGGGTCGCTGCCACGGGGCAACGCTTGAATGCAGAAAACTTCAACAGCGCAAAAAGAACAATTGGTTCTATCTGGATGTGAACCACAGGGCACGGAGCACAGCGCTTGAGATGTGGCTCTGCAAGGCAGAATTTCGAGCCCCTTCTCCCGGGAAGCCTACTGTCAACCATTGCCTTTTCTTCTCCAAGTGGCCTCGACTCCGGTTGCGCTGTTCATGTACATTTCTGTCGCAATCGCATTGTCGAAAACAGCGTTTCGCAGCTTGGCCAGCTCAAAGTTTGCCTGGAGGATACGAACAAACTGCGAGTGAGCTCAGGGATCTCGCATGATTAGACAGGGTATCTGGCCTGATTCAGGTTCGCACCAGTGAAGTCTGCGTTCGTCATGTCTGCGTCGAAGAAGCTCGCGCTCTGGCAGTCGGCATTGACAAACTTGGAGTCACGGACGAAAGACTGCTGGAAGGACACACCGACGATGCTCTGGCCAGAGTAGTCGACACCAGAGATGTCTACGCCTCTTGTGATGTTCTTGGCAGACCCACTGTTCTTACCTGTGGTCGAAGCGCCGCCTGCCATGATCTTTGAGCTGCTGGTGGCCCCCGCATGCACGGGCTGCGCCAGCAAGCTGAATCCGAGCAGCATGGCCAGGGCCTTTCAAGCGCTTTGCAAACCTGAGACATGAACATTCATAATCAGCTGAGATGCGGAGATAGCCATGTTGGCCGAAGACAGACGGGGCTCTTCCCGGACTTCTTCAGCAAAGAGCCTCTGGCCACCAACTCGTGACCGGAGCCTGGGTGTCTCCTTTGGCAGCCGACCCGGTTGCGACCTGCAAATGCACCAAATGTGACAGAAGGCCCGGCTATAACCTCACCTCATTTGGATCCCTATCAAACGGTTCATGGACAGGTCTCTCTCATTCATCAACACCGGGATCATACTGCGCATGCAGCACACATGCAGCACCCCACCAGGCGAGGCTCCAGGCACAGCATGCCACGGCCACCGTCACCTGAAAAGCCAGACTTACTCCGAGGCTGTGTCCCTCAAAGTCCATATGAGCCATAGTCTAAACTCCTAGTATCCCCAATCCCTTATCTACCCCCCTGTAATAAGGAGTTTAGATTATGGCTCACATGCAGCAGAGACCCCACATCCCTTCAGACGCTAAATCCTCCACGCGTGTGGTCTGACTGGAGGGCAATTGTTTGTAGGGGTTCGTCCATTCCTTGAACAAGGCCAATTACCCCAAACTAGACTCTTTGCAGTCCAACACCATGCAGTCCTAACCTATGCCGGATGATCCTTTCAAAAAACTCTCAACCCTGAACAGTAAGGTTGGCAGGCGGCTTCTGTTCCAAGAGCTCACCCTCAAAACAGGCCGAGTAGCAGCTAGCGAAAAACGCCACACCCTGCTTGGCGGCCCCATCTTCCTGGCAAAGGGCAGCATGAGGTGTAACAACAAGACCTGAACACCCTGCAACATGCTTCGAAGTCTTTACAATTAAAAAAAAAAAGATCTGCAGTCGCTACTGGTTATCGGTGGTGCGATGATAAACCCGGAACCGTATGCAAGCAAGTTGTGGCGTTTGGCGCTGGGGTGTCAAGCTTCTCCAACATGGGCCAATACTTCGACAGTATTGACTTCAAGATGTCTAGCTGCGCGACCATGAACAATTAGTCTGCTAGCACTGTGCTCAATGAGATTTTGGGTCTTCGCTACCCCGCACCACTTTCCTTTGACCGAAACGTGCAACAACCAGAAATCAACATGCAGGCTCCAAACCTCATGGGCTTCGGGATGGCTAGCAGAGCTTGAGATTTGAGCCAAATCAGTAAGTTGACACTGCTTAAGACATGGCATCCCTAGTTCTAGCACATGTGAGTAGTGTTTTTTTGGTGGTTGAACCTAGTAAGATAATATTCCTTATGCAAAATACTATACCCCAAAACGAGGATATAATCTTACTCTATAATGGGTACCATAGTATCCCCAAATA